GCTCCTTTTGATGCATATCTGTGCTCCTTTCAGCTATCCCTCTCTCTTCATTATTTCTTTCTTCTCTTTGTTTTGGCTTCTGTATATTGTAGTATAATTTTTAGTGTCTCTTCTGACATCTATTTGGTCTTTCTTTTTTCCCTTTCTTCTCTTTGTAATGAATTTTTGCTTTTTTTTTTTTCCGTGGAGATTGTCTTTAATGTTGTACCATGATCATCGTATCTTCTTTTCTCTTGGACTTGTTTTGATTTTCTTCATTTTCAGTTTGAACTTGCACATGAATATCTGATGGTCTGTTTCATAGTCAGCCATTGGCTTTGTTTTATATTCCCCCATCTCCTTTTAAAAAATGTGTTATTGTTTTTTTAATTAGTTTGCATAAAATAATTTATTTACATTATATTTCATACATGCTTTCATTTACATTGTTATTTATAATTCTTAATAGTGTATTTTTTATAATTAATTACTATGAATCTTTGCTTATTGTTATGCCATCTTTCTGAGTCTCCATTTAATCTTTTCTATTCTTTCATACCCTGCATCCACCATCTAAACTTCATTATCTTGGTGATTTCTGCTCTTCCCTTTTTTCCACCCTATGCCTGTTCCACTTTCCCTTTTGGACATTTATACACATCTTACTAGTTATCTTCTTACAGTAACGGTTGTATGCAATATTTTTCCTTATGATATTAAGTTCACTCAGCATAACACTCTAGACTCTGCCATGTTTTATAGTATTTTATGAAACCATTGTACCTAAGTGCTGCATAGCTTTTTTGTGTGTGTGAATGTACCCCTATTTCTCAATCTGTTCATTTGTTGATGGACATTTGGGCTGTTTCCACTTTCTTGATACTATGAATAATGCTGCTATAAACATAGATTTACATATAATTGTTCATGTCTCAGTTTTAATTTCCTAGACCTCTGTTGGCCTAGTAGATAGAAAATTATGCTACCAAGCTAAAGGTGAATGATTTTAATCTGTGGCCCTCAGGCCTAGTTTTAATTGTTTTTGGTCAACCATTCTTCTAAGTGGTATATCACTGGTCTGTCCATTTCCTGTACAGAGATAAGTTGAAGTTGTTGTGATACTAAACACTGTGACACTGATGTGTCAAATGTGATAATGGTTACCCATGATGGACAGTGGTTGGTGGAGCTCCCTATAAAAATAAGTTTGAAAGCAAGAGTGACATCCACTTCTGAAATAGCTTGCCTCGGGAAACTCTATGAACATGGAGAAATGATGAAAGTTATACAAGTGTTCAGGTCTTTCATACATAGGGTCACTATGAGTCGTCTCTGACTTGATAACACCTAACAACAACAACAACAACATATTCTTAGCAGTGCAACTTTTGGGCTAATTTGGAGTTTCTGTGTTGAATTTGAGATGAAAATGTATTTCTGTAGTGATGTTAGGACTTATTTATTATAATTTTTTCATTTAGTAAAGTTTATTTCTTTAACTTTATTTAATACAAATTCATTTCCATAGCTCCTTAAGAAGAGTCATACTTAGATTAATTAATGAGGGCAGCTATGTTATCTGAATTTTTCAGCAGACACTCACAGTGGGCCCAGGGTTTTTTGTGTTTATTATTGCTGCCAACAGTGATTGTCTGAGCCATTAGGTCTAGTCCTCAGGAAGTTGTGTTGCTAACCCAACATCCCTGGATGCTTTACATCTACCAGTGTTTCCAAAGGAGAGTGATCTCCTCCTGTCTAATGTATAGCCTTGAAAACCCAATATAGAGTCAATTTTGAGTCAGTTGTAGCTCAACGGCAATAATTCTGAGAGGTTATTTTGATGGACCCCAAAATTAATTAAAATCCAATTGAAAGACACTGACTTTTAGTAGAAAAACATAGTGTTTCTCTTCTTATATTTCCATATTTTAGTGCTAATAAGCATTTGTGTTATTAAAATTACTTAGAAAACCATAAGAGGTGTTAATGGAGCCCTTTATAAACTGCATTTGATAGAACATACTATTTTCTGAAAATATTTCTAAGATTGCAGAAAAAAGGGGTCCTGTGGCCAAATATTTAGGAAAGGCTGCACGCCACAGTCCCCCCTTGCAGATTCACAGTGTACATCCTTGTGTTAAGTGGGCAAGCCAGCCACACTGTCATTTTTATTAACTTAGTTTTTCTTTAATCCTGGAAAGCTTTCTTTGAACATTATCATGGAACATTAGTGCAGTGATTATCATTAGAAAATGCATACCATTTTCTCTCAGAACAACTCTGTGTGTGTCTGTGTGTATTGTTGTTGTTAAGAACACCAAGTTTGAAGCAAACCATAGCTGACATTCCAGAGAGTTTTCAGAGGCAGTAAGTCACACAGGGGTGGGGGAAGAATTGCTCATCTTTCTCTCCTGGAGCAACTGATGGATTCGAACCATGTGACTTAAGGTTAGCAGCATGTTTGAGCATGTTGTTAGGAGAGGTTATTCCTTGGAGAGGAACATCAAGCTGGGAGATGTGAAGAGTCGGTGAAAAGAGAAAGATCCACAACCAGGTGGATTGACACAGTGACTGCAGCAATGTGCTCAGGTGTGTCAAAGATTAAGAGGATGCTACAGGATAGAGTAGGGTTTAGACCTGTTGTTCATAGGGTCACAACGAGTCATACTTGATTCAATAGCATCTAACAACAACAACAAGACTAGCAACAACACACACACATATACACACACATATGCATAAAACCCCTCACAAAACACACACATATACAAAACGCCCACAAAACCACAAGGCAACCACAAGGTGACCAAGCACATTTATACATATTTCTGACATAGAATTGTTGTGTTGTTACATGCTGTCAAGTAGACTATGACTTATAGTGACCTTATGAGCAATGGCTCTGAACTATTCCCTAACCTAGGCCAGTGCCCCCACATACCTGGACACACCTGCCCCCATTGCCACAGTCACTGTGTAAACCCATCTCATCCTGGGTCTTCTTCTGGTGCATTGACCATCCATTTCCCTAAGCATGATGGCTTTCTCCAAGGGCTGGTCCCTATTAGCAACATGCTCCTTTTTGACTGATGCGCTGTTGCTTTTAATCTCCCATACTTAGAAAGGGAACCAAACTAGGGACAGTCAGTTATACTACTTGACAAAAGAGGGCGCTGTTGTACTGTTATTAGTCTATGTCTCAGTCGCGCAACAGCGTGCTTTAGAGTAATACTCTTTTTTTGTAATCCTTTTCAGATTCATCCTAACCAATTACAACAAATTGTCTGTCCAGAGTTGGTTCAGTTTACACCGAGTCGAAATTATCTCCAATAACTCAGTCCAAGCAACTTTTAAAGCGTCTGGCATAAATGCTCCTTGGAGTTATTCCTACCACTGTCAGCACGTCAGCAACCTGCAGCGCTATGACGCCCTCTTGCTGCCCAGCGACCCGGCTGCTACCTCGAGCCACTGGGAGGTCACCTTTGTTGATTTCCAGGTATATTGAATAAAAGAGCTAAAACTTATCTTAGCGCACTTGTGTCTTTGGTTGGAACATAGATACTTAAGAGAAGATTTTTTTACAGTAACATTGGTCTTTTAATCTTTATCTTGGAAGGTATGAATTGGACTGAGAGTGTTTCTTTTCCTTGTGTCTCTACCCCTTCCTCCCCACAGGTTTCCCTTTACTTTCAGGTTGACTAGGCCCTTAACAGTTATCAGTGAGGAATGCGAGCCACCCAAGCACAGAGAAGGTGTGGTGTGAAGTCCAGTGACTGACATTTCCTGGAGAGGCCCTTCTGGGAGAGGAATTGTCAGTCAATTATTTTATTTCCTTTGGGGGAGTGGAGCAGTGATCCTATTAGGGCAGATAAGAGGTGCATGGGGTGTGAGTGACAGCTTTGCCAGTTGGCTTTGGAATGGAGCTGTCAGCCAGGAAGTAAAAAATATCCCAGAGAGGCTTTTATGAGTGTTTGAGAAAAGGAATGGATGCATGAGAGGTTTCTTTTGATCAGTAGAATCTCAGACTGAGAGACTCTGGCAAATTCCACTGCCCTGTTTACCTGCAAAAAATAAGCCTAGCTTGTGCTTTCAACTCACTGAAACAGTAGGCAGGGATTGACTCATCTCATTCTTGGGCATTTTGCAATCTTTTTACATATATACTAGCCCCCCTCCTTCCACCCCACACATGTTGGTCCATCCACCCATTTATTCATGTGCATCCTTGAGTCAGATGCATTCAGGTATAGAGTGCTACTTTTTGAGTTATTTTTATAAATGTGAAGGAAACAAGTGGCCCAGTATACTTGGAAACATCCAAGATGATGCGAGACATGAATTAATGATAGTTTGTAAGTAATCAATCTTCTTATTGTTATGCACCATTCAAGTTGGCAGTGTCCCATAGCTGACCCTTCAGCAGGTTTTCAGAGGCAGTTATTCGCACAAGAGGAGCAGCTGGTGGATTTGAACCACATGTCTTTGAACTGCCTGTGCAAATTCATACCACTAGGCCACAGGAACTCACTAATTGATCCTACCTGAATGAAAAATGTCATTTCAGGTATACATTTGGGACACTTAACACTGATGCCTGAATACCAGATGAGCTGTAGGAGGACGAAGGATATCTTCTATGAGAAAGTCACAGAGATACAAAAGGAAGGAAAGACCAAAATGGATGTCAGAAGAGACTCTGAAAATCACACTAGAATATTGAGAAGCGAAAACAAAAGGGAGAAATGCCAAGGTAAAGCGATGAAAATAAGATTTCAAGGGACACCTCTAAAAGACAAAGCAAAGTATTACAATGAAATGTGAAGAGCTGGAGTCTGAAAATAAAAAGAAAATATCTAGCATTTCTCAAGTAGAGGGAGCTGATAAACAAATTCAAGTCTTGAGTTGCAAAACTGAAGGGTGCCATGGGAAAAATCTTGAATGATCTTGGAAGCATCAAAAGATAATGGAGAAAAAGCACAGTTACTGTTGTTGTGGTTGTGGTTGTTGTTATGTGCCGTCGAGTCGCTTGCGACTCATAGCAACCCTATGTACAACAGCCCTAAACTCTGCTCTGTCCTGTGCCAATCGCACTGTCTCTGACACTCCCATCCCAATTATCCCAGTCACTGAATCAATCCACCTCATAGAGGGCCTTCCCCTCCTGTGCCGTCCCTCCACACCCCCAAGCATGATGTCCTTCTCCAAGGACCGGTCCCTTCTCGCAACATGTCCAAAGTATGTTAGACGGAGCCTCAGAATCCTTGCCTCCAAGGAGCCACCCGGGTTAACCCTTTCCAGGACAAATCTGTTTGTTTTCCTAGCAGTCTGTGGTATTCTCAATACTCTTCTCCAGCACCACAGCTCAAAGGCATCAATTCTCCTTCTAGCCTCCTTGGTCATTGTCCAACTCTCTGATGCATAACAAGTGATTGCGAAGACCATGGCCTGTATCAGACGCACCTTAGTCTTCAGAGAGACACCATTGCTCTTCAATACTTTGGAGAGGTCCCTAACAGCAGACTTTCCCATGGCAATGCGCCTTTTAATTTCCTTGCTTCTGGTGCCAAGACTGTTGACTGTGGAACCAAGCAAACTAAAGCTGTGTACAATCTCAATCTCTTCACCATCCATCCTGATGCTGCCGATTGGTCCAGTGGTGAGAATCTTTGTCTTCTTAACATTGAGCCTCAATCCATATTGTAGGCTGCAGTCCTTGACCCTCTGCATCAGGTGCTTCAGGTCCTCTTCAGTTTCAGCAAGCAGGGTTGTGTCATCCGCATAACGCAGATTGTTGATAAATCGTCAACCAATCTTGACCCCACATTTCTCCTCATAGAGCCCAGACTCCCGGATAATCTGTTCTGCATATAGGTTGAAAAGGTATGGAGATAGGATGCATCCCTGGCGTACGCCCTTCCCAATTTTCAACCGTGCAGTGTTCCCTTGCTCTGTTCTGACGACTGCCTCCTGGTCAGTACCCCCCCCCCCCAAAAAAATACTGATGGACACAAAACCATTTCAGGACTACAGTGATGATGAAGAAAGAAGTTCAAGTCACAATAAAGGCACAGGCAAAAAGTAGTAACTGATGGAATCAATTCTTTATTTGATTTGAAGAATTGATGCTTTTGAGCTGTGATGCTGCAGAAGCGTATTGAATGTTCCATGGACTGCCAAAGGAACAAATAATTATGTCTTGGAGAAAGCGCAGCCAGAGTGCTCTTTGGAGGCAAAGACGGTATAGAGCTTCGTCTCACATATGTTGGGTATGTTCCTGGGAGAGGCAATTCCTTGGAGAAGAATACCATACTTGGAAAGGTAGAGGGTCAGAGAAAAAGAGGAAGGCCTTCAGCTAGATGGATTGACACAGTGAATAGTGACTGCAGCAATGGCTTGAGTGTGTCAGAGATTGTGAGGATGGCGCAAAGTTCAGATCTGTTGTGAGTTTAGGGCAAGGTTCAGATCTGTTCTTCATAAGGTTGCTATGGGTCGAGCTCAACTCGGGGACACTTAACAACAACAACTGATGAAATACTGATTGATATCTTTCAACAAACAGATGCTGCTCTGGACATACCACCAATTCATGCCAGGAAATTTGGAAGACCTGGCCATCTGATTGAAAAGGTTTGTCTCTCAAGAAAGGTTATTCCACTGGATGCAAAAACTATCACAGAATATCACATGCAAGGGAAATATTACTGAAGGTCACCCAGGGACAGTTGAAACGGTACATTGTCAGAGAACTGCCAAATGTTCAAGCTGGATTTAGAAGAGGCTATGGCACTAAGTGTATCTTTGCTGATATAAGGTGCATCTTGGCTGAAAGCAGGGAATCCAGACAGATGTACACCTATGCTTTATTGATTATGCAAAGGCATTTGATTGTGTAGGTCATAGCAAGTTATGGCTAATATTGAGAAGAATGAGAATCCTGGAACACTAAATTGTGCTCATGTAAAGCCTGGTCATCCAAACCGAGGAGGGAAACACCTTAAAATCAAGTATGCTTTAAAATCAAGAAAGGACTCCAGGCTGTATCATCTCTCCATACCTATTCAATCTGTATGTCAAGCAAATAATCCACAAAGCTGGACTTTATGAAGAAGAGTGAGACATCAGAAATGCAGGAAGTGTCATCAACAACTTGCAATATGCAGACGATAAAACTTTACTTACTGAAAGCTAGGAGGACTTGAGATGCTTATTGCAGAAAACTGCAGTCTTCAATATGGATTACATCTCAACACTAAGTAAACAAATGTCCTCACCACTGGGCTTATAAGCAACCTTATTATGATAGATAGAAGATTGAAGTGGTTAATGATTTCATCTTTCTAGGATATACAGTGAATACACTTGACAGTAGCAGTAAAGAACTCTAAAAAAATGTGTAGCATTGGTGAAGTCTGTCAGGAACCGCTCCGAGGTGCTGAGGAGAGGCAACATCAGTTTGAGGACTAAGAAGTACCTGACTAATGATGACAGTAGAAGGCTTGATGTTTTTGAGTTATGGTGTTGGAGAAAAGTGCTAAATATTCCATTGACTACTAAAAACCCAAACAAATAGTTTTACAGAAGGTGAAGCTAAGGTTCTCTTTAAAGGGAAGGATGATGAAACTCCATCTCACATACTTTGGGGATGTGGTTAGAAGTGACCAGTCCTTGGAGAAGGACATCATATTGGAAAAGTCAGCGAAAAAGAAGTCATTAAACAAGATGAGTCAACACAGAGGCTGGAGAAATGGGTTCGAGTACCTAAAAATGGTGAGAGATGGTTCAAGTTTGCTGTTGATAGGGTTGTGGTTGACAGACTTCAAAACAGATTATACCTCAATGTCAAGAAAATGAAACAAAACAAAACAAAAACCACCATCACTGGATCAATGGGCAGCATCATGGTAAATGGAGAAAAGTTTGAAACTGTCAAATATTTCTTTTCACTTGGATCCACAATCAATGTTCATGGTTGCAAAATTTAAGAAGTCAAAAGTTGCACTGGGAAAATTTGCCTTCAAGAACTTTTTTAAAAGACTAAAGAGCAAGGGCATTAGTGTAAGGGGGAAAGTGTGTGCCTGACCCAAGCCATGATACTTTTTGTTGTTTCATATGACTGTGAAAGTTGGCAAAGAGGATAAAATGCACCATGGACTGTCAAAAGATAAAACAAATTTGCCTGGGGAAAAGTGTCATTGGAGAGCATGGAGGGAAGAATGGTGAGACTTCATCTCAGATACTTTGAGCATGTTACCAGGAGGGGCCAGTCCTTGAAAAAAAAAGACATCATGCTTGGAAAAACAGAGCCAGTGAAGGAGGAGAAGAGCATCAAGAAGATGGATTGACACTGACTACAAAAGTGAGACATAATCAGGTTGGATACTGTGAGAATGGTGTAAGCTCAGGCAGGTTTTAGATCTGTTGAATACAGGGTCTCTATGAGTCAGAGTTACCTCAATGGCACCTAACAGCAATAAAACCAGCAACAGCTGTAACAGAAAACACTACATGTAGCTGGCTTTAGTGACCCAGAAGTCTGAATTTTGGATATTGATACTGGTGGAAAGTGGAAAGCGTTATCTCTTTTGAAAGGCTAGAGTCTCTTCTGTGCATTGGTGACTTTTGTGAGGCATGGCATCTGTCTTCCACTTCTGGGCTTTCTGCATTCTGTGCCTAATCTGCTCATTTTATACCTAAGAAGTGATTGGTTTAAGGTATACCTGGACTGCACTGATAAGGTCAATAATATAATAGCAACCTTAGAGCTAACTAAGATTGCATCCACAAGTTTAGGGGTTAGGGTTTTCAACACATATTTTTAGGGGGACACACAGTTAATCTCTAACACATGATATTGTTGGACACATGTACCCACATCCTCAACAGAGTCCTGGCAGTAAATGCAGCACTGTGTTTCATGATTGGCCTTGTTAAATGTTCTTACTATAAGCAGATATCAGAATGCAAACTCAGGCCAGGGGTGATTGTGATGATGAGGGTGGTTGAGGTATGTGTACAAAAGACTGCTTTCTATATCTTCAGTTTATCTAGCTTTAAAAAAAAAGTAAATATGGTTGTGCCATGCTTGGAAAACTCAGATGCCTCTGGGACCTGAGGGAGGTGAGCTAAGTATGGACAGTGGCAAAGGGGAGCCAGTATCACAAGGGGTATCACTATCACTAACGCATTTCCATCTGATCTCTGCTTTGTAGGAATGTGCGCCCAGCATTACAGGGCCTCCTGGCTTTTCAACAGAAGCTTACAATCTGAATTATGATGGGAGGTTTTGTGTATGCTCAGAACTTTGGGTTGAACAAAATTCGCCTATGGTCTATTGAGGAGAATATATCGAGTTCAGCTTTTGGGAATTCTTCTCAGTGATTGTTTTCAACCAAGTCTTGGTAAGAATTAAAGGGCAGTCAGTCTGAGACTATTCCCTTAAGCGATGTTACCTCCTCATTCTATGGGGTTGGGTGTGTCATGAAGGAGTTTGACTTTTCATACACTTGCATGAGGAGAGGCTACTCTGCCTTATCGGATATAGGCATGTCGAGGATCCCAGAAGTCAGGCCAAGGGATTTTTCCAGGAGTTGTTATGGCTTCTACATAGAGCATAGGTGGTTGAATGCACGAGGTCTTTAAATTCCTTGGCAAAAGTGAGCGGTGCATCAGTTTTCTAGGATTGCATTAAAAAACACCATAAATTGAATGTTTTGAAATGACAGAGATTTAGGTCCTCACAGTTCTAGAGGCTGGAAGGAAGGAATCTCCACGTTTCTCTCTTAGTTTCTGGTGTCTCTCAGCATATGTTGATGTTTTTGAAGTGTGGTTGCATCATTGCCTCTATCTTCATGTCACTCCCTTTTGTGTGTCTGTCTTCTGTCTAAATTTCTCTCTTATAAAAACTACAGTAATAGAGATTACAGGGTCGGCTATAATCAAACATGATTTTGTCTTAACTGGATTACTTCTCTCAACTCCTCATTGCCATCCAATCTGAACAGATTCTAAGCTGACCAGCCAGCCAGTTTTTTGAGACTGTTAAATTGCATAGGAGGAGATTGCCCACCTTTCTACCTTGGTGCTGCTTGTGGATTCAAACTACCAGAGAAGCATAGCTTCTGTTTTTTCGTTTAAAAGAAAGTAGGTAACTGAATGTGGTGCTGGTATGTAGGATTATTTACCTATAAGCCTACTGAATGCCAAACATGCTAACTTTAAAAAATAATAATTATACTGTAAAACTTTCCCTTTCATTTTAACTGTATTGAGCTATTAGTTTGAGTCCATTGTCTCTTTTAGCCTCTTCTACTTTCAAAAAAAATTGAACTATTTCCTGTGCACATATGCGAAAGCTTTCCTGTCTCTCAGGAGAATGAAAGGAAGAGCTGGCTTATCTAAAAGTGCTACCTAGTCTGTGCAGAACAACTGATAAAGACAAAGAGGTGCAGAGAGACAGAAGGCAGGAGAGACAGAATATAGAAGCAGCAGTAGACTGTAAACCAAGATGTGACTCTGAAGTTCTATTGCCAGATTTGTATTTCAAATTTATAATTCCCAGCTCTGTTACTCTGGGCTAATTGCTTAACTTCTCTGTGCCTTAGATTCTTCATCCATAAAAAAGGTAACTTACTCATATGCCTGATGAGTATGAAATGAATTAAAGGGCAGCTGGGACATTATTGGTATTGTTGTGGTTAGCTGATATCATGTTGGCTCTGACAGATGGCAGCCTCGTGCATAATAAGATGAAACAGGCTTAGTTTTTATAGTCATTGGTGTGTTTGAGCTATTGTATAAATCCATTTCACTGATTATTTTCCTTTTAATGTTAGCCCTCTTTTCAACCGCCAATGAATCTTTCCTGATGATGTGACCAAAATAATGAGTTAGTTTTGTTATCCTGACTTCTTAGCAAAGTTCTGGTTGTTTTTCTCCCAAGATTGTTGTTTCAGAAACCAACATATATTCCATGCTCTTCACCAGCATCACAGTTTAAACATGCCAGTTCCTCTGTATTCTTTTTTCCTATCCAACTTTTACATGCACATGAAGCTATTGGAAAGACCATGGCTTGGGTTTGGTGTGTCCTAGTTATTAATGTGGCATTAAAAAAGCAACACAAATTCTTGACTAGGTTTTAATTTCTTTATTAGCCAATTTGACTTCATTTGGAATCATGAAAGCTTCTCTCAAAAGATACTTCCTGTCTAATTCATGACCACAGAATCAAAAACAGAGGAACTGAGACTAATATTCTCTGTGAAACTTATAAAAACTCTTATAAAATTTCGAATATCCCTTAAAATTGTGGAAATCACACAACAGTAATGGTGTTAGAGGAATTGGAGTATTCCTGAGGGTCAGAATAAAACAGGTTTTATTTTAGAGCCTTGCATATCATGGGCCTCTTAATTATAACAATGGTATACCCCGTAGTTCCTGAAAAAGTCCTGGTCTAAAGCTTAGTTCTCTATCCCCATAAATACATCTGCATTTCTCAGATTCTATAGTTATTGCTCTGATGGCCTAGTGGCAAGAAGCTGCGCTGCAATCCCCTGAAGACACGCGGTTCGAGGCCACCCACTGCCTGCGGGAGAAGGATGGAAAATCTCCTCCCGTACAATTAACTATGAAAACCCGCCAGAGGGTCAGCTATGGGTCGGTTCCGACTCTGTGGTACATAACAGTAGCAACAACATGGTGCCATTGCATCTTAAATTTGGCCAATTAGGGCCCAGAACTAGCAGGCCACCTGGGAAGTAGGTCTTAAGAGGGAAAGAACATGTCACGTCAGCTCTCTGTGTCTCCTAACAGATTCAAGGTTTTGCTATTAATGGAGGAGAATTTTCCAAGGCTCGAGACTGCGCCTCTTCCTTCTCACCGGCCATTCTGATTGGTCTGGTGATGTCCCTGATTCTGCTGCTGGCTTTGGCCTCTGCTCTTCACACGCTCATCTACCTGCGAGATCATGACCGGCACTACGATTTCATCTCCTCTCCTGTCCACTTCGCACAGTTGAAAGCTCCCGATGTAGCAGAGGAGAAGGAACTGCTTGGGAGCCAGGGCATCGAGAGCTATGAATTGAGAAGCCAACAGATCTGTAGAATTTATGTCTAACACACATGCCCCTCTCTCTGTCACGGTAGGTGCCCCAGTGGGTGCCCACTTGAGTTGTCTCTGTTTTGTGATGCTTTATTTGTGTGTTAAATCTTCCTCCTGAATAACATGGCTTTGCAATATCAAATAACTAAAATGCATAACAAACTTCTCTTGAAGCATTCATTGACTTACTTAGATAGACTGGGGCAATGGAAAATATATATAACCGAGGTATACTGCAAAAATGTTTTTAGAAAAAGCTTGTTTCCTCTTCTGGAAATTTTGGGTTAGGCATTTCTTCTGGCTAAATCTGGTTCTAGCCCTTGAATAATTCTGTATATTCCAATATCTTAAAATAAATTCCTTTCTGCTTTATGATCTAAAGTTTATTTTATAGCCTGAATTTAAAAAATTTCCATTTATATAGTTACTAATACCAGAGGTGATTCTAAGGAATAGATCCTCAATAAAGTAGAGATCTGTGGATTTTCTCAATCTTAAAACCAGTGCACATGCTGTTATTATAGCTACCAGAAACTGATATGCCACACCATTCAGTTATGAAACAGGTTTTTAATATGGCTGCCTCCAATGAAGTGATATTGGTAGAGTGAATGACTGTGTGATAAACTATTAATCATTCATTACTGTTGAGTCAAATGCAACTCATAGCTGACCCTTTCAGAGGTTGTATATTGCACCGGAGGCAATTGGCCATCTTTCTCCCATTGACTGGCTGATAGATTTGAACCATCTGCCTTCGGGTTGACTGTACAACTCCCTACCCCCTAGGATACCAGAACTCCCTAAAGTGTAATTAGGAAGCTCTCATATAAACAATAGGCATTCTGTTGTTGTATGTGCCATTGAGTCACCTGCAACACATAGTGGTCCTATGTACAGCGGCTCTGAAGCCTGCCCTGTTCTGAGCCAGTCTCACTGACCCCAACAAACCTACCCCAGTAACAGAGTCATTGTATCAATTCATCTCATCAGGGTCTTCCTCTCCTGCTCTGTTCCTCCACCCTCCTGAGCATGGTTTTCTTCTCCAAGGATCAGTCCCTCCTGGCCACATGCCCAAAGAATATATAAGATAGAGCTTTAAAATCCTAGCCTCCAAGCCAGACATATTTGTTTCCTTGGTGGTCCATGGTATGTTCAAGATTCTTCTCCAGTACGACAACTCAAAGGCATCAATTCTTCTTCTATCCTCCTTAGTCATTGTCCAGTTCTCTGATGCGTAGCAAGTAATTGTTGTGACTGTGGATTTAATCAGGTGCGCCTTGATCTCTCTACTGACATAGCTGCTTCTCAGTACTCCGAAAAGGTTTACCTAATGCAATTCGTTCTTTTAATTCTTGACAGCTGGTGTCAAGAATGTTGATTGTGGAGTCGCACAAGCTGTAATTGTTAACAACCTCAGGAAGTAGAAAATTATGGCTTATAGTTCCAATGGGGAGACTATGTGAGGGAAAGAGAGTGCCATTAGCAATAATTCCAAGACAAAAATAGCACTAGACAAATAAATTGGGGCAGTTTGAATTCACCAGTTGCTCTGTGGGAGAAAGATGGGCAATCTCCTGAGCAATTTATAGCCTCCTCTGTAAAGCTGCTGGAGGATCTTCTATGAATGGATCACAACAAATTGTGGCTAACTTTGAGAAGAATAGAAATTCCCGAACACTTGATTGTGCTTATGTTAAACCTATACTTGGACCAGGAAGCAGTCCTCAGAACAGAGCAGGGAAACACTTCATGGTTCAAAATCAGGAAGTGAGTGTGTCAGGGATTTGCCGTGTCTCCATACGTTTTTAATCTATATGCAGAACAGATCATTCAGGAGGCTGGGCTTTATGAGGAGGAATTTGGCATCAGGATTGGAGGAAGACTTATCAACAGCTTATGTTATGCAAATGACACAACCTTGCTGGCTGAAATTGAGGCAGACCTGAAGCACTTGCTGCAGAAGGTCAAGGACTGTAATCTTCAATATGGATTGAGGCTCAACATCACAAAGACAAAGATTTTCACCACTGGGTCAACTGGCAGCACCATGATGGATGGAGAGGAGATTGAGGTTGTTAACAGCGACACGTTGCTCGACCCCACAATCAACACTCTTGGCACCAGCAGTCAGGAAATCAAAAGATGAATTGCATTAGGTAAATCTGCTGTCAGACCTTTTCAGAGTACTGAGAAGCAACAATGTCAATCTAGACACTAAGGTGTGCCTGATTCAGGCCAAGATCTTCTTCACATTTCCCTGCCATGCATCAGAGAATTGGACAATGACTAAGGATGACAGAAGAAATGATGCCTTTGAGTTGTGGTGCTGGAGAAGAGTATTGAACATACCATGGACCACCAAGAAAATAAATAACTCTGTTTTAGAGACTGTTAAACCAAGTTTCTTCTTGGAGGCTAGGATATTAAAGCTCTGTCTTTCATACTTTGGGCACGTGGCCAGGAGGGATAGCTTCTTTGAGAAGGACATAATGCTTGAAAGGGTGGAGGGACAGTGCAGGAGAGGAAGACTCCGGTTGAGATGGATTGATACAATAACTAGGGCAATGGATGTAGGTGTCAGAGTCAGTGAGACTGGTTCAGGACATAGGGTCTCTGTGAGTCACATGCAACTTTGTGGCACATAACAGCAACAACAATAATTCAATGGTAATTAGATATGTTTTTTTCATAGTCCCTCTTAGGGTAGGCTGTTTCCTTATAATGATACTGGAGGAATTCCAGGAAGAAAAATGTAGCCCTGATTTTTAAAAGTATAATTCAAGGATAAAGATCCTGGGAATTTCTATGATTATTTTTAAATGATCCTTTACCTCTTACCAAAGGACTGACTTTGTTGAAGATTAGATGCTAGTCTGGTCACTCAAGTGGCTAAATAGCCTTGTAGGTGAAATTCTCAGCCTTGCCTAGTTCCTATTAAGAACCGTGGGGCATTGATTGAAAAGATAAGAACCAGGAGACTAAATATAGTACATTTGGGGGAGATTTAGATGACTTTAAGAACACTGAAATACAAAATGCTATTGCCTTTTCCTTATAGTTAATGCAATTCCTGAGAAACAAAGGTATTCTTTCTCTGAAGAACACCCAGTAAAATGTCACCAGAGAAAGTTACCGTGCCACATCGTTTGCTGATGATGCACATTCATGGTGGCCCTATGTATCTATCAGATGAGAACTGTATTCCATAGGCTTTTAAAAACATTGTATTCTTATTTTATTGTGATTTGAGTGAAAGTTTTCAAAACAAATTGTTTTTCTTTCAACCATTCATACACGTTTTGCTTTATAACATTATTTACAATACTCACAACGTAGTCACGTTTCTCTCACTTCCTCTGTAGGCTTTTTCGGTGACTGATTTCTCAGCATTAGATCAGCAGGCCATGCTTCTGAGCCATCAAGCTCTTGGTTAGCAGCTGAGCTCGCCAACAGTTTGCACATCCTGATTATTTTGCCAGGAGGTTCTAATTCTGATCATTGTCACTAGGCAGTTAAGAGTCACACTCTAGAATATTCCAGGGGAACATTTGCAGATTTACATCTGGGAGAATAATAACGTTGAGAGGCCAGAAATTCCTTGGTATAATATACAGGAAGAAAAGAAATATAATAACTTAGAGAATTTGTGACGTGGGAGTGAATTTATTATGTGCCACTTGTTCTCCCACCCCATAATCCACCCTGTGAAGGCCCAGAGGACACTTCCTTTTCCATATTCCTGTTAGCAGCTGTCAGATCAGACCCCAACTCACAGTAACCCTGTTTACAACAGAATGAAAGACTGCTTAGTTTCTATGAGCTTTGTAATTGGGACTGCTTTTACCCATAGATTTTCACTGGCTGAATTTCTGTAGTTTTCCAGGACTTTATTCCTAGTCAGGCCTTAGTCTGAAAGCTTTGTTGAAACCTGTTCAGCATCAGAGCAACACACAATCCTCCACTGACAACAACTGGGTGATAACTATACACTGGCTGGGAATCCAACCCAGGTCTACCATATGAAATATGTGAATTATATTACTGAGCCCCTAATGCCCTCCCTGTTCTCAAAACATTGAGAAATATATTGGAGCAAAACAGCAGCATCTTTGGAAAGTCCTCTTGTGGTTATATTCTGTAGACTGTGGGTAAAAGTGGGAGATACTTCCCTTGAACTAGATTTCCTGGTCTTATTCAGGATGGTGAAGTCAAGTAACAACATGTTACTGTTAGGTGCCGTCAAGTTGAGTATGAGTTGTAGTGACCCTGTGAATATTAGATCTGCACCCTGTCCAAGTCCTGTGCCATCCTCACAATCTGACACATTTGAGCCCCTGACCACAGTCATTGTGTCAATCCACCTGGTTGAGAGTCTTTCTCTCCTTCGTTGTCCTTCCATCTTTCCAAGAATGATGTTCCTCTCCGAGAAATTACCTCTTCTAGCCTGAAGGGTAAGACAGTTTATCAGATCATATAGTTTTAAAAAATTTTATTAATTTTAATGAAAGTTTACAGAGACTTAGGGTTTCTAGTCATTCATTGTTGCACTTTTCTCCCTGCCTACTTCCTCCCCCGCACTTCACTCTTCTCCTTGAAAAGTAAAACTCGTTCATTGTTATGCAATCCTTCCTCACCAAGTCCACTCCACTGTGCAGCCTGCATTCTGGACTCCTGTCCTGACAATAATACCCAATCATACATCCCTTTTAAACAGTTCTCTCCCTCATCTGATTCAATGCAGTATACATCATTCATCCCCTCCTCTGTCTTCCCTCAACCCTGATATCAGTCCTGTTTTACAACACTGGCCCTAAGCAATATTTGTCCTTTTGTAACTGAGATATTTCAGTCATTATTTAATTAATGTCTTCCAGGGTCACCCATTTTGTATAATATTTCATGAGTTCCTTGTTTTCAATGCTACATAGTGTGCCATTGTGTGAATATACCAGAGCTTCTCATTCCATTTGTTTGTTGATGGGTACTTGGGTTGTTTCCAGCTCTTTGCTGTT